ACACCTTCGCGTCTTTCCATGATACGACAAGTTGCGCACGGTCTGCTCAGATTCAAATATATAGCCACGTTACGCATATCCGTAAAACGTCTCGACAGGTTATAGGAGCGCTGAGGAGAAATCGGAAGTGTCTCTCTCTCTCTGCAGTCGAAGCGAATGGCCTACACGTCCATGCCATGGTAGAGTCCAGGATCCGCTATGGATGCTCAGCTTTCTTTAGCTCTCTCTCCAAGGCTAACGAGGAGAGACTTCAACGCCTATGCAACCTGCGAGCCGTGTACAACCTGACCTCCCGTACCCGTATGACTCCCGTGTATGCGGAACACAACCTGCTTCGTGTACACCAGCTCTTGCGTGAGACAGTGTGCTCGCTGGTCTACTGGTGCTTGGAACAGTCTTCCACCTGATGCGAGAAACATCACGTCCCCCCTCCAGTTCAAGGGTGTGTTGCACGCATATTGTCTTACTGTAGCGTGACAGCAACCCCCCTCCCCAGTCTTGAGTACTAGTATGTAGTAATCCTGATGCTCTGATACATGCCGAGACTAGCTGTATGCTCAGTCTCCGGCTAGCTGTATGCTCAGTCTCCGGCTAGCTGTATGCTCAGTCTATACATTCTTGATCTTATCTTCTTCTTTTTTCAAACTCGGATGGTGATTGGTGACGCAATATAGTTATGATGAAGAAAGGAAGAGGACAAAATGTTACGAGTTATGACGAACTGTCCACCTACGTAACCATATCTTATATCATTTACATGTATTATCCCAGTTCTGCAAGCTTACAATCATATGCTCAAGCGCAGAGCTCTGCCCTAGACTATGTCTTTTTCTCTTTCTTTGCTCACCTATTGCTCATCACTTCTTTTACAGATTTGGTATTATGGAAAGTTTGGAAACCCCCTCGATAGGCGAAAGCCTTTGGGGAATCCTTTTAAGTGTAATAATTGTTTATTGTTTAAAAACAATCAACAATATTACACTGACGGTATCCCAACTCCTTATTTTACCAGATTTTGTATGCCTCGATCTATTTCCTTAGCCTATCCTCGATTAACTGCTCCCTCTACATAAAGTTGTCATTTCATTCTTCTTGCAGGAGATCCCCTCGACAGGCTCAAAGCCTTTGGGAAATCCTTTTAAAAATATAATAAAATACAAAATACAATACAAATTATACAGTCAGCGAGTGCGGCAAAATGGCACATGGCACAAATGGCACAAAACTGACAAGGAGTACTGAGACATTCGGAGACCTGGCACGTACATGTAGCTCCAAGACTCCTCCAAGGCGCAAACCAACAACCTTTCAACTTGGAAGGCTCAGGTTCGGAAAGGTCCAAGAGGGGAAGGAAAGCGCAACGAAGAAGAGCACGAGCTACGCATCACGGCAAGAGTATATAACGGGGGGTTATATACTCTTGATCACGGCAACAAAGAATGCCGAAAGTTACTGGATGATGACGAAACTAGTAAGACTATTGGACAGACCGGCCTTACTACAACTCTACGACGCAAAGCAACAAACCACCCAACTTGGGAGTAGGCCCCAGCGGCAGATGCTAGCTTAATGTTGCCAAGATGCTTTTTGGGATGCTACCTGACAACTCAGAAAGATGCTAGTTTGGATGCTAGACAACACGAATTATGCTACCTATTAATCATCTGTCATTGGTAATGGTGAAACATTTGGGTGAAACATTTGGGTTGAAAACGGTGTTCCGTGCTATTTATGAATTCTCACAAAGCAGGTATGTAAAAAGAGTTTTTAAAGGTGCGATGTTGGCATCATGTTGCTATGGAAATATTTGCAATACAAACAAGCAAATACCAAGAAGTACCAATGGCAATGTGGGTCTTGGTCACAACTAGGTAATGCAAACAAATTGAATGTAGTGCATGCAATTATCAATGTGGTAGTTAGGCCTTGACAGATTATGCTAGCATAATTTTTCGCATAATTCCTACCGAAATCGAATAATCGCATAATTCGAGGCAAATTGCATACGAATCGCATAAAATTGGAATAATCCGCCTGTTAGCTGTACATGTTCTACAAGTACAAGTACAAGTAGATGCACCAGGAAGTCATAGGTTTACGACTCCCTTGATAACATGTCCAGTCCACTACAATCAGTGACGGTCGTAGCTAGGTCGGACGGTGCGTTGACCCTCATTAAACTTTTACTACCACAGTACAACGCCCTCTACAAAAAAAGTTCCCCTGTTATTTTGCACAGAACCATTATACATTAGCAGCATATGTTAGCATAATGCGGCATAATAGAGGGACAACTTCTCCCAGTTGTCAATTATTAGGCGACCACTACCAGAACGGGTGCTTTCATTGACCGCCGTCCTGAACTTCTTCCTCAAAGCCCGCACCTTGAACAAAGAAGCATCCATGCAAACACAAACAGACACATACAATCCTGGGGATTAACGTTTATGTGCATGCTTGTGAGTATGTACCATTACTTTTTTAGGACAAGAAAGTAAAGTATACATGTAGATTGACATTCTTTGGGTATAAATTTCATGTACATCTACATGTAAATGTCTCAGTCTTTATCACCAAATGCACTATGATACGAACTTAGAAGTTGCGACTTCGGCGACTTCATGCACTATGATATTCATTTAATTTAAGCTTATATAACACACTAAATGTATGCTGAAGCTGTATGAAGACATTCACCTCACCTTTTCCTTAATCCTACTGTATCCATGGGATATTTGCCTGCCCTCGATCTCACGTTGAGTAATCAGGCGTTGGTGGACGGCATCATCTTGGGTGTTTTCCTCATCCACTGTGATAGCCTTGGGTGGCCCAAAATCCTCCACATTGACGCCATCCATCATAGCTAACCTACGGCGTACCACGTTATACATTTCTACCAGGTCGGCTTCCATGTCTTTTCCGATGTAGTCCATTTCCAACTGGAAACAACAAGAAATGATCAAGAAAATGACCATGCAAACCTCAGTGGCACGCATCCCGCTTACCACAAAATGAAACAAATTAATTATCCTTATCATTGAAAAAATGCATCATATTATGCTTAAAAATTTTTTAATGATAAGGAGAAAATGCTATGAGTTAGGTCTAAAGGCCGATTCACAATACAACTTCTTGCGACGCGACATGCGACTTGCGACACCTGCGACGAGCTGCGGCAGCGACGCACGGTTCACAATCTTTTTCATGTTTGCGACATCCTTGTGCACAAGTAGTACTATGCACGTGCACTGTATGTGCACCCAGTGTTGAAACTGTACTACAATTGAGTGTGTCGCATGTCGCAAAAGTTGAACTTTCTTCAACTTCTGCGACAGGTAGCTTGGGACAGCTTTTCAGCAGTTTTTCAGTTACATGTACGTACACTTGTACATGTAGTTCCAAGAACTGATATACCACGTAGTTACCCATATTCCCTCATAACAGCATGCATGTATGCAATGGATGTGAATTGTGAATAGTGGTTGATGCTTACATTGCCTATATCTGGCTGTAGTAAGTACATTGTACACGTATAATAATAACATGTACGCATTGCCACCTTGTTCATCAACTTTAGCCTTTGACGTAGGCGGATAATGCGGGCAGAAAAAATTGGCAGAATCCGGTACTTTTTATGGTAAGTTTCATGCATGTTTGGTATGTGGATAAAAAAAATTGAGCAGAATGGAGCAGAATTCGAGGAATTGTCCGCCATAAGGATTGTATGGTTCTGCCAATTTCACTGCTTTTCGAGCAGAATCTGCCACCTTTTCGAGCATTATCCGCCAAGGTCTACTTTGTCGTACAACTTTGCGGTATAATGCCGGCAGATAAGCGGCAGAATTATATACTTTTCGGGTATGTTTAATGCATGATTGGTATGTGGACAAAGAGGAGCAGAATTCAGGCAAATGACTGGCGTAAGCTTGGCATAGTTCTACTAATCGCATTGCTTTTCAAATGAAATGACAACTTTTCGATTAATGTCCTCTAAGGTCTAAGGTCTAGTCTCCTTAAAAAGAATAACAGGGATAACATTCATGATTCATACCTTGTGGTCGTGCAAAACCATCACGAGCTTGTCCTGCAGCTCGTCCGTCCACTTGAACCATTTGGTACATGCAGATGCAGATGCGGAATTCTTCCGCTTCCCACTACTGGCACTACAGTAGAGTCGCGCGCCCAAGAACGTTGTTTCCAAGGGGTTAGCCTGGGACGTTCTTATTTTTCAGCAATCTGGCTGCGTTCTTGTAGCACGTTCTTAGAAACAATCCGTACTGGATCATAATAATGTATCCCACAAGCTTCCAGAAAACCAACACCGCCGTTCTTAGCTTTAGGCTGTGGCGTTCTTAGAATTTCAGGCTGGACGTTCTTGGGCTCCACGTTCTTCAGCGCGCGACTCTACTGTAGTGACATTGATAGGAGGGGGCGAAATAGGCGAAATAGGGATGCTAGCACTACACTGCTCGTCATCATCGGACAGTTGAGGGACGTTGGTCATATTGATAGAAGAGCAACCGTAATCTGGTATTATGATGAAACGTTGAAAAAACCCCAAAACTTCCACATGTGGGACGTTGCTCTTTGCTCTTTGCTACCTTTGCTTTTTTTTAATTAATCTTTTCTTCATCCGCCATCGATGCATCGCCATCGCCATCGCCATTACACTACAAATTGTCTCCGCGCTATTTTTGACCTTTGGAAATGTACTTTGACCTTTGGCTTTCACGCGCTTTCACAGATTCAGCTTCCCGCCCCATCACGTGGTTGAAATCCATGACTCAACCCGGGTCAGACTGTTTACATGAACATTTCGGAACATTTCAACCCGGGTCAAGCGCAATGCGTCATGTAAACGCGCCATTCACTTTGTGCACATGGCGGGTTGAAATCTGACCCGGGTCGAACTCAACCCGGGTTGAAACGCTTCATGTAAACACAGCCTTAGAGTTCATAACCCCGTGGACTTTTGCATGCATGCTATGGCTGTGTTTACATGAGAAATTTCAACCCGGGTCGAGTTCAGCCCGGGTTGAAAGTCTGTACGACAGACAAAAGAGGTGAGCGTTTACATGAAGACAGTTGACCCGGGTCAAATACTGATATGCCGCCAAAAGTCCACTTCTACAGCCCTGTATGGTCACGTGAATCCGTTCGCGCGAAATTTGCATCTGCAGTCTGTTCAAACCTGGCGCGAGATACGTGATTTGTGATCCACCCCCGCCTGCATGCACCAGTGCACCACAATGCACCAATGCAGCAAGCGCAGGCATCGGGGACATGCCCGCGCTCTCCGATCATCCGGGCCTGCCCGACGCGTATAAAGGGCTGAAAGGGGGCAGTCTTGTCACAAAGGTCCCGGAAAGCCAATCAAGAGAGCTTCCTTCCATCCTCCATCCATATCCGCCCCTCAAGCGACTACCATTACCCAGGTGAGTTCTCTCTGACCTCAACGATTACCGCTATAGATTCTGTTTCAGAATTTCGGACACAATTTCGAGTTCATTATAAACAGCATATTTTTGCCGGCACAAGCCGCTTCACTAGTATATAAATCAATGATCATTTTCACTGTTAGGATCCCGGCGATAGGCTATGCTTTTGGGAAATCCTTTAAATAACAAAATTTAAATATAGCACCACTCCAGTGTGTTAGTACATCGTATGTACAAGTACATCAAACGTAGCGTAACAACAGTGACGTCAGTGGTCTAGCTGGTTTTCCCTGTTCTCTTCTGCTTCTCAGTCTGTAGGTATGAAATGTATTATAAATGTTTTTTGGTAATTGACTGTTGTGAATCATGCTTGCATGGTTGACTCCAACGCGTACATGCAAGTAATAATAATAATAATAATAATTGGCTGACTGGCATCTATTGATATGCTTTCTTCCCCCCCCCCCCCCCCCTTGCGGTCTTCTCTCAGTTTTCTTCGTAACCGTTGACAACACCTACGAGACAAGCCCCAGCGTACACTGGTGCATTCAACATGGCCCGCTTTCTCCTGCTGGCATTGGCCGTGACCATGCTACAAGTCTTCGCACCAGCTTTGGGACAGAGCACCCCGGCCCCACGTAAGTGATACCTCGATGTGTTACATTTCTATCACGCCTAGCTAAACCCCACCGACAACTTAACATTAAACCTTTCACAGACGTGAATTCCAAGAAGGTGAACTCCGACTGTTCTAGTTTCGTTTCCCCACGATTTGTTTCTCTCTGTATGGTTTCGTCATGAGGCGTTGGCATAATCAGTTTGGCACATGCGAATCTGCTCTAACACCAGGTACTATCTAAACTGCTTACCGGGTATTGTTGCGTTTTTGCCGTGTTTGCACGGCACAACTCATAGCAGCATTTACCTGCACGTGCATCCTACCATCGCGGCTGCTTTATGCAATGACATTATGTGCTTGTGTACATCTACTTCGTATGTGTGTGCTGCAGATGACTGCAGAATCTGTGGGAAAACGGATTACGAGCTCAAGACGATTGTGCATCGCATCCTTAGCAGGCCAGTCGGTAAGTGCAGTTGGTGATCTTGTTCCCTAGGTAACCAATATGGCCACGGGTGTATCCTGGGATTCCGAACGATATCGCATTATTAAACTATGGACGAGTTGTGAAATGCCTTTACCACCCCCAGTATGTGGTGTGCATAAAAAAGATTGCCGCATATCCAATCAAGAATTGTTAACTATTTTCTATTTCTTACTGGATCCATCCAATATGCGTACCGTATTTTTCGGAGTATAGTGCGCACTTTAGATGTGCTATTTTGTGCCCTAAATCACAGTTGCGCACTATGCTCCGAATATGAAATGCATGTGCTTCAATGAAGATTGAAGTGCGCACCCCCAATGAAGATTGGGGGTGCGCGTAATACAAAGGTGCGCACTATACTCCGAAAAATACGGTACATGTACCCTTCAATATTATTAAATTTCAACACTCTCATGCTTTGTTGCCACGAGGACCCAGATAAAAATTAGCGGATAATGGTGGCAGAGATGCCGGCAGATTTTGGTACAGTGGTTTTCCTGTAGATTTCATGCACGTTTTGTACCGACACGAGGATATGGAATAGGAGCAAAATTCGAGAAATTGGCCGCAATTCGCTTTGTGAAATTCTCGTAATTATTTTCACCGCATTAACCATCAAAGGCTATCACCAACGCTCTCGCCTGTGTTTGCTTTCTTTTTCATCCAGTGTTCACCGGTCGGGTTGTTTCTACTAAAGACAGCAGTAACCTAATCCAGGTCACCAGCATCTGCAAGGGTGGTCTAGTACCAGCATTTAGAGATGCCAGCCGCCGCCTACACCCGACCACCCGCTGCGACAGACTGGATGACACTGGCCTCCAAAAGCAACTGTTTGTGAGCACAGACAACAGTTACAAGTCGAAGACGGCTAAGTGCCTTGCACCGTGTGGACTGAACGTCGCCGTTGGCAAGAAATACATCTTCGGTGGACACTCTGCGGGGGCATTTAATTCTATCATCGTTCTAGATGATACGTCTCTGATCGCTAGATATAACCAATATTCCCGGGCACTCCTGGATGATCTGAGCACAACTCCCATTAACGAGTAATGTGTTCTGGAGCTGATCACTGACTTCACAATGCGCTCTCGCTCTCTCTGCTAGTCCAGGCTATTTGAACGAAATACCCCTCCCCGCCCCGCGTGTCACTAATTTCTGATTAGTGCCTCAGTTGGACGGTCAAAGTCCCTTTTCACATCCTTTCGACTATGTCATGCTATTGTACTTGTCCAAGGTTTTTTATTACTTTTGTTTTATATTACCCCACTGCTGTCCGTTCTTTGCACCTGACCCATCCCTTCTATTGCTTCTTGTCGTCATGCTTCCTGTTATGCAGTATTTCTGAGAGAAACGAGAAAAAAGAGCTCATACCCGAGTACTCTGCAGTATTATTCAGTGTGTTGATTCTGTCTCTGTCTCTCTCTCTGTCTCTCTCTGTCTCTCTCTCTCTCTCTGTCTCTCTCTCTCTCTCTCTCTCTGTCTCTCTCTCTCTCTGTCTCTCTCTCTCTCTCTCTCTCTCTCTGTCTGTCTCTCTCTCTCTCTCTCTCTCTCTCTCTCTCTCTCTCTCTCTCTCTCTCTCTCTCTCAGTATTTTCAAGGTGATCTGGGTATAACTTAAAAACAAGAAACCGATAGGGGTGGTGCTTAGGGTCCAGCGGATAATGCGGGCATTATATTCGGCATTAGGAGACTATCCGAGCATTTAGAGCATTATGGAGCATTAGAAAGGAACTTGGGGCCTCACGCAATCTGCTCTCCAGAAGTTGGATGCCTTCCACCGACGTCAGTTGCGGTCTCTCCTTGGCATCAAATGGCCACAGCGCATCTCCAAGGAAGCTCTGTACCGGAGATGCCAAATGGATTAGATCAGCATCTTCGTACGCCGTGCAAGGTGGCGTCTATTTGGTCACATCTTGCGGCTGCCACCATCAACCCCCGCAGTATTGGCAATGGAAATCTTTTTTGCAAACAACAGCACCAGATGGCTTGGCGAGCCACGCGTCTCTCTTCCCAGCGTGCTGCATCAAGATCTGCAGAAAGCCGGGCAGGGTAGACTCCTGACTCTGGAAGATCTCCATTCGCTCCGGGCAACAGCTGCCTGTCGTAAGAGCTGGAAGGCTCTGTGTGAGGCAATATGTTCATCCAACTAGTTACAAATCAATGTACTTGTAATCCCATATTAGCCCGACAGTGCAACGTCAAATCAACCGGATATATCTCCTTAATTTGCTCATCTCCCTATGTTTCTCTCTCTCTCTCGCTCTCTCTTTCTCTCTTTCTCTCCCCTTTTTTCTCTAAAAGCCGATCACGACAACAACCAAAATACTGTATAACTCAATATCAACTGGAAATGTTATATCATCACACATCCAAAGTACTATCTTATATTATCCGAATACCATAATAGCAATAAAAAGAACAAATTCTGCAGTCATCGCCACACTACAACGAAGTCATGAAAGTTTACCAGAATTAATTTTCTTGTCACATTCATCAGTGGAAAGTCGTGACTGAAGAGTAACCATGCTGAACAATGATTAAATATACATTCAATGATGTGTAACGAGAACAAAATACAGTGCCAAAATAGAAAGAGGGAAGGTGAGACAATAGCAGTGAAGTGAGAGCTAAGTGCAACGGTGGGTGAAAAACTAATAATTATAACGCTAAAACTGTGTAGTGAGACAAACAATCATGCTGTGCACCTACGAAAACAATTTTAACGCAACTACATGTTTCTTCTGCTTACAAAGATCAGGCTTATGCAAACGAATACAAACAGCCTCAAGTACTTTCAACTGACTAGCATACCGTGCACGACAAAGAACAGAAAAACTAAAATCATCATACACCTGCAGACACTTAGGGTGAGACAACAAGTGAAGAAAAACGGCGGACTTCTTACGATCACAATCACCATCGGATTCCTCGTCTCCAACAACCACAACCTCGTCCTCCGTTTCATCTCCCAACTCGTCCTCAGTGTCGTCCTCCGTGTCATTCTCCTCATCAACACTGATCGGTCCCAGGGTCGTTTGACGTTGTTTAACCTCTGTTCGTTGACTCCTCCTTTGATCTTGATGGCAACTTGTTACCATTGTTGTTGTTGTTGTTGTTGTTGTTGTTGTTGTTGTTGTTAAATCTTGTGTTCCCAGTGTCCTCGCCGGTGCTTGATCTCCAGTACTGTAATAATTCATTGAATAATTAGCCGTTGATCGTCTAGGTCTTTGAATCTTGATTGTGTTACTTTCTTTGTTGAATTCCGTTCCCTTCAGCCTTCTTTCTCGTTGTTCACAATCAGTGCTTGCCTCATCCATATATGCACGTGCCACCGACACCACAGACTCAGCCCCAGCACCGCCGATGATAGATGTAGGTGGCGGTTCTGGGGGAGGCAACGGCAAAGACGGCGATGAGGGCATTACCTCATCACAGCGTCCACTTTGGTCTTGAGCTGAATGTTGTTGTGGTGTGTTATCTTGTGTTGTTATGGTGCATTGTGTTGTGGTGACAATATGCCCATTACCCGACTCCAAGGCTCTCGATACGGGTAATGGAGGCACTATTGCCGATGACGGAGATTGTGCTAACGATGGCTGTGGCCGAGGGTTCTTCAGTGGCCTGCCGCGTTTTGGTCGCAGTGCCCGTGCCGAGCTAGTCAGCATATGCAGTGGGACGTGCTGCTTGATACGTGCGTTCAGATGTTGAAGAGTCCTACCAACGTACCGACTACCGCATTGTCGGCACTCAAATTGGTATACCAATTTAGATGCAAGTTGGGTTGGTAGGACATCCTTCCTCACCGTGAACTTAGCTCTCACTTCACTGCTATTGTCTCACCTTCCCTCTTTCTATTTTGGCACTGTATTTTGTTCTCGTAACACATCATCGAATGTATATTTAATCATTGTTCAGCATGGTTACTCTTCAGTCACGACTTTCCACTGATGAATGTGACAAGAAAATTAATTCTGGTAAACTTTCATGACTTCGTTGTAGTGTGGCGATGACTGCAGAATTTGTTCTTTTTATTGCTATTATAAAATTGTTGTCTCCACGTCGATTATTTGAATACCATAATAATTATCATTATGATTATCAACTCCCTCAGTATTTCAACTGTAGCAATAGAATCACACCATCTATCACAATATCAACATGCAATAACTATCATAACGTATCGCATGCGATATCCATACTTATCCTGTTTTCTTTTTTCCGTCCTTCATGTTGTTTTCTGCCTTGACATCAGCATCTTTCATAATTATTTGATTTCTGTTTACCACCACTCAGCATAAGCGAAATCATCAATCATTTGATTGACGATGACGCGAAAATGCAAATAATAATAAGAAGAAGAAAGGAACAAGACGAGCATTGTGTGAGGTTTAAGCGACATAAAGAGATTCATTGTCAATAATGTCGGGAAATCTCAGGTTTTCGCAACAATCGGCTATAGCCACGAGGTGCAACGCCATAATATTATATATCGCCATTCGCTTGATATGATATGAGGTGAGCGCCTTAAACTACATTATTTATCCCTTTAATATGAACATGAAGAAAGCGGTTCAGCTTGCTACATATGAAACGAAAGAAAATCTTTTGTTAGAGCTATGTTTTCTGGAGTCGTAAACTTCATATGGCATTCAATTGACCGTAACTTTGGTGTCTCTCAATGGATTTGAGTGAATTTTTCACCACACACTCCTGCCACTATGCTGGCCCTCTGGACATGATTTAAAAGTTCTTGCGCCTCACTGACAGGCTTTCCAGGCCGGAAAAACTCAAACTTCCGGCATAGTGCCACGTTGTGCGAGTCACCCAGGGGCCAAATCAATGCATTTACAATTTTTTCAGATTTTTTTGCCCATTCTGTCCGTGCGCGGGACCCAAACCTAAACTGATAAGTCCACAAGCAGCCATGGGTGGTGGGATAGGGCCCTTCACGTGGCCCTGGAATCTGTCACAACGGCAGGAGTGGTCGTTCTCTCACAGACTCCCACAGACCCAAGTCAATTTTTGATATTTTTTAGGTTTAGGGCGTGCTACGAGGTCGTACCTTTGATACAACATCCAGTGCTGGGACGTCTACAGCAAGCCATTTCCACAGCGCTGCAAACCGAATCCAGGATACACTCAAAAATGGGCAGAGACTACCACTCACGTTCCACTACTGCCTAGTACTGAATCCTACCTGACTTCTTGACATGACTCAAACTTGCCAAAGTCACTCAATCAACGTCAACTACAATAATCAAGCCACATATCTGCAACGTCACGAGGGTGCTGGCAAAGGTCCTGCCGCCGTGCAGCCCCAATACGTGGCTAATGAACGTGATTTTTGGACTTGGAGCAAAATTCTGCACACCTTCGCGTCTTTCCATGATACGACAAGTTGCGCACGGTCTGCTCAGATTCAAATATATAGCCACGTTACGCATATCCGTAAAACGTCTCGACAGGTTATAGGAGCGCTGAGGAGAAATCGGAAGTGTCTCTCTCTCTCTGCAGTCGAAGCGAATGGCCTACACGTCCATGCCATGGTAGAGTCCAGGATCCGCTATGGATGCTCAGCTTTCTTTAGCTCTCTCTCCAAGGCTAACGAGGAGAGACTTCAACGCCTATGCAACCTGCGAGCCGTGTACAACCTGACCTCCCGTACCCGTATGACTCCCGTGTATGCGGAACACAACCTGCTTCGTGTACACCAGCTCTTGCGTGAGACAGTGTGCTCGCTGGTCTACTGGTGCTTGGAACAGTCTTCCACCTGATGCGAGAAACATCACGTCCCCCCTCCAGTTCAAGGGTGTGTTGCACGCATATTGTCTTACTGTAGCGTGACAGCAACCCCCCTCCCCAGTCTTGAGTACTAGTATGTAGTAATCCTGATGCTCTGATACATGCCGAGACTAGCTGTATGCTCAGTCTCCGGCTAGCTGTATGCTCAGTCTCCGGCTAGCTGTATGCTCAGTCTATACATTCTTGATCTTATCTTCTTCTTTTTTCAAACTCGGATGGTGATTGGTGACGCAATATAGTTATGATGAAGAAAGGAAGAGGACAAAATGTTACGAGTTATGACGAACTGTCCACCTACGTAACCATATCTTATATCATTTACATGTATTATCCCAGTTCTGCAAGCTTACAATCATATGCTCAAGCGCAGAGCTCTGCCCTAGACTATGTCTTTTTCTCTTTCTTTGCTCACCTATTGCTCATCACTTCTTTTACAGATTTGGTATTATGGAAAGTTTGGAAACCCCCTCGATAGGCGAAAGCCTTTGGGGAATCCTTTTAAGTGTAATAATTGTTTATTGTTTAAAAACAATCAACAATATTACACTGACGGTATCCCA